AGTCGTCAAATTACTGCTTCACCATTGTCACGGTAAATGCCAGAACAGAGCCCCAGATCGTGAGAAATTTGGCCTACTCATTCATAGCTATCATTACAGTGGTTTTGAATGATTCAATTGGGCTCTGAGGTGGTAGTTTATTTCGTCCATCTACAATCGACATGAATGCACGCATATCGACCCGTTTACACATGGGCCCGATTGAAAACGGACCAAACCAAAAGGAATCAAGTGAATTCAGCATTGAATTTTCTCTTTGATTTCTATGGATTTGGAATATGGTTATTTGCATCGCGATTTGTGCAAAATAACGCACAATGGCATGGTGAAATTTATGTCAGTAATAATGTTATTTCTTGATTCATGTTTGCCTGCGATGGCCAACAGTCGCTTTTTCCTGATTGCCATGCAAAAACAGCCTTAAATGCGTTTGTGGCGCTATTGGCCTCGGAACCAGGAACGATTGGGATGACATGGAATTCCATTTCCCTGAAAATGGTTTGATATGTCAAGAAAAAACCGAATCCCGAAGAAAAAAAAAATTAGACGGGCGGCCCTGTTGCGTGGGAACTCGTATGGATAATACAAGGAGGAGGCACTGTGCATTCCACTGATCAGTTCTGTGTATGCTGCGTTGTGCCTTGATTTTTTAACCTAGCAGACCAAAATGAGTCAAACTAATCCGGAACTATGGAAACCGTACAGTTTGGTGCATGAATCTTTAGCGACTCATTGAACTTCGTTCCTTCCGTACAAACAGCTTGGTGCAGACAGTGGTCAAAACAAGACGATTCATATTTGCTGAACACAATCCGAACTGAGGATGAATTGTGTGAAACGGAACTGCTGAGCTCTGTCTACGATAGGAATGCACAAAAGAACGATTTGTATATCCTAAACGGTTTATCACACCCCAGGCCTGTGAGTTTCCCGCTGCGTCACATGATGATCACGTGGTCAACAATTTGAATGATCAACGGTGAGAAGTGTGTTCATCTCACCGGGTTTTTTTGTAACTATAGTTATTTGGATTCTTCCAACTTTGCAGGTTGTTTGGACGTCCCCGTTCCACGGAAAACCTCGGTGTGTTTGAGAGCAGTGGACGTGAGTATCATAAACCTGGATCCCGTTGAACAGAATCAACCCCCTGCCACATGTTGGTGGTAGCGCCGGGTGAAAATTGGAATTGGAAATTGAAAATGTCGAACCTATTTGTGCCTAAACTTAACTCGTCAGCAATGGTTGATGTTCCATTCAGTTGGCATAGCATCACTCGTGTTTTTCTCAGGCCCCGAACAATATATTCTTAACTTGGCAGCAGTGGTTTGGCAGACAATCAGTCGANGTCGATCAGCAGTAGTCAAATGTCACGAAATAATGGTCAATCGGGACTGAGACATAATTTTCCAGACAGAGCACACACCAATGGTCAGAGCCGGATGGAAGTATAAACGGAAACAGAAAAAGTCATAGAAACCGACTTAGATGGATGACTTTGAGCAGCGAAATCCTGTGAACAAGTTTATCGTCGCCTATACAGTTCGTCACGTGTGAGGGGATCGCGTTGTGGTTACTGCTCCTTCCCCAACACGGTCTTTTGGCTGTCCATTTGGACGAAGAATAGGAGAAGAAAGGAAAGCTGAAAGTAGAGTCGAAAAGAAAATGGAGAAGTCCAGTGGTCTAAGGTTGGAAAGAAATTGAGGAGGTGCATGAACGCCACTGTTTACGACACTCAGCCATATCGCTCAGCGTCTCTAACCATCGGTTACGATCATCCCGAGGTCCCCAGCCAGGGA